AAAAAAAAAAAAAAAAAAAAAAAAAAAAAAAAAAAAAAAAAAAAAATTATGTTACTGTATGTAAAATGTTCAAATACGACAGACAACAATAGTTTCGTTGTTCTTCTCAACACGTGTGATATTTTCCCATTCATCGACAGGTGCTTGAAAAGAAAAAAATAAATAAAAAAAATAAAAAAAGTAATGATATTAAAAATGTAAGCAACTTAATTTTTGTACCGACAGTTGTATGTGACGACAGGTGGGACAGTATTGTTAATTATTGTAAGTATGCAAGTTTGGCGAGTGTAATTGTCTATAGAAATTAAGAGCGAAAAAAGTAAAACGCATCCATCACACGCGCTGATTATAAAATATTATTGAAAAAGTCGTGTAAGGCCACAATACTCTCTTGTACGTGATAAGCGAAAAAATATAATCACCCTGAAAACCTAAGCTTACTGCGATACAGCGGCAGACCATGATGCAATCCTTTTTCAACACCTCTTTGCTCGCTTTTTCCCTCTCTCTCATTGTATAAGCATTAAGCCGTACAAGGAATTGGTTCGTGCACTTTCACCAAAAGGTATATTCCAGTACTCTGGCCAGACTTCCTTTTTTGGCCTTAGTGTATTTTCAAGAGATCTGATTAGTGCCAACTATCCAGACTGCAAAAGTCGCTTCGTTTGGCTTTAATTTATTTTATTTTTCTTTTTTTTTTTTTTTTTTTTTTTTTTTTTCAAAACGGTATACAATCCCGGAGTTCGCGAGGAGAAATTGCACGCGCGCGAAGATTATTTTGTTGAAATATTGTCTTCGGTCTCTGGCACAAGAGACGGCACGTATCGTCCTTGAACCGAGTGAGGATATATCATTTCCTAGTGCTTTGGCGTATCTACACGCTCCTCGAGAACGCAACTAATTGGAAAAGTTATTTTCCATCGGTGGGACGCGCGCCTTAATTACACGCCCCGCGACCCCTTTTTTCTTTCATCCCACTCGCGAAAGCACATTTTTTTTTCTTCTTACATTTATATATACTGTATATACAATCGTGGTTATTTCGACGGGACGATTCTCGTCCTCCTTTGGTTTCCCTCCCGGAGAACAGGCGCCGAGCACAATATGCGAGAGAGAGAGGGCATTATTTTGTATTCACCGCGAGGCGTTTTGCGACATATCGAATTTTCCCCAAAAGAATGGAATTTTTTTTTTTTTTTCCTTCTCTCCATCGCGATTGTTCGGCGGTGTACAAATTAACCCCGAGATCCGTTTTCAATTGGGTGTGCGCGTGCATGCACGGCAAACAAATTAGTACCCGCGTTTATTCCATCCGCTGGTCCCACTCGCAGACCCATGGGACTTTTTTGCTCGGACCAAAGTTCCGGACTTTCATCATCGGAAAAACCAGTTTGATCGGATGTATTATTGTATTGTTTCCCCATAGGTTCCTTTTTATTTCCAGTACTCTCGGGCCATCGCAACCGAGTGGCCATGGCTGTGGCAGGAGAGGCCGAAACAGCTCATCGGCTCGACCGGAAACCGACAATTGGCCGGGCAGTGCCAACAGCAGAGCTGTAGACACCTCTGCGCGTCTCGCAACGAGTGGTCAGTCCCTCATGCACGTTCGGACCGTTTCGCGAGCTCCTTTTTAGTCATTGTCGAAGCCTCGCCCACTAAAAACGTAGATTCGGCTTTGTTCGCGTTTGAGGGTTGACCTAGTGGTGGGGAAAGTACTTGATTTCCATACACGTAGTAATTTGTTTTTCGGGTGAACTTGCGGTGAATGACATCGCACTGACATACCACTTGTGCAGATAGAGAGGGGGGGGGAGTGTGGCCAAAGTAAGCCATAGCGAGAAGAGACTAAACTGGCGCGATGCTGAGGCAGTCGTCGTCGCGCGGGCGGCCACTGCTGCTTTACGTGTTCGTGCTGCGCGCGTTGACGGGCTGCTGGTCAATTGGGCCATTTGCCGCGAGGGCGTCTCGGCCGGCACGGGGCATAGCGGATCTGCGCGAGCTCATGATGCAGCAGCAGCCGTCGACCGGCCACGGTGCCTGTGACCTCGAGGTCGGGCTCAAGGCCGGGGGAACGCCCACCTGCGAGTGGTTCTGGAAGAACGACACCTTCGAGGTGCTCTCCGCGGTTGGGCTGGCGCCCGACGAGCGGGGCCCCACTGTCGATGCGAGCAACAACCGCATGGGTGAGCCCACATACATCTCTTCTTAATTGTGCAATTATCCTTTTTTTTTTTTTTTCTTCTCTTCTCTATTTAAGACAATCTCCATTTCAACACTTACAAATTCAGGGACCATTTTACCATGAATGGTACCAACACTTTGACGTGTACAATATGGGATTACTCGAAATTCATTGGCCCCGTGTGCACAAACTAAAAAGTAACAAGAAAAAAAAAAAAAAAAAAAAAAAAAAGGAAGAAGCTGTATATATATATGTATGTGTGTGTGTGTGTGTGAGGGAGGGAGAGAAAAGCTCAAGGGACGACTCTGCGACGGCGGTGGCGTATACATGTATATTGTGCATGGTACGCGTGGACCCTTGCAGAGGCAAGAGAGTGAGAGAGAGAGAGAGTCCCGTCTAGCGTGGCGGGGGCTAAAATCGATCGCGGGAGCTTTCGAGGGACGCCAGATATACGAGAGGCTGGTCGCGCGAGCGGGAGGACCAGCCATCGCAGCATCCGTGTGTACGATATTGTGGAAGCTTGCGCGCGCGCTCGAGGGAGAGAGGGATGGTAACACGGCGGCACCAACACCCAAAAAGCTCACGCAAGCTCCCGAGGCAGTAGTGGCCGAGAGTGTCTCCCAGCTACCGGGCGCTCAAACATATAAACCCACACACCTACGACACGCGCGTCTATAACGTGTTACCATATCATCTCTCGGTACCGGGGCGAGTTGGTCACTCGTACGACGCCTACACCGTGGAGTATACGATACGCCCGATGGTTTAATTATTTTTTTAATTCCGCGTGTACGAGGTGTATTGCCTATATACTAGTAGCTGTTTGTGCTAATAGCATTTAATGGTACAGTGTGCGCTTTGGGGGAATGAAATTCAAAGCGAGGTGCAAGCAAGACGAGTGACGCTGCATCGGACAATTTTTGCTCTACAAAAGGGAGGAAAAGCTCGTCCTGCGTGCGTGGACAAACATTATAATATACACGCATACGATACATGCGGGCAGTACTGCTGGTGTACCCCACTGCGGAGCTTTATGCAATAACACGAAGGAAAATTGGAGTCTGGCTGGAGGGTGTGGGGGTACGAGCGTATACAATATTTACATAAATCTTTATTACTTTCCACCACCCCCCCCCCCACTCCCGGTTGTCCTGTGGTGTGGCCGTTTCGTTGGACAATAATTCGACGGTGTGCCGTCATGTGAGCGGAAGAAGAGGACGAGCCGTCGTTGGCTCGAGGGGGGAAGCCCCCCCCTTGCCTGTTTTGTTCCTCCTCTCGCTCCTCCGAAACGGGAGGTCCACTCGAAGATGTACACCTGAAGGTTCGTATGTATACGCACGTGTACTCCACGCAATTGTGTATTATATTATTTTACATTTTTGATTTCTCAACGAGTGATAAGGTTGTCCTTTTTTTTTTTTTTTTTTCAATTTTCACGCGAGCGTCAAAAATCAGCTCAAAGTTGATTCATCAGGCGCGCTTTCGTCTAGGACAGTAAAGAGAGAGTTTTCGACGCGCTGGCTTGTACACAAAGTTTTAACAACGTTACTACGCGCGACGCGTGTATATGCATGGAATTGAGTTTTGTCGCAGTTTGTAACTTTTCGCTTGTTGTAACGCGGGGGTATATATGGGCCAAGGGCTAAGACAATAACAAATATGCCCACGCTTGTGTCATGGGACTCCGGGAGAGGTGTAACTTTTAATTGATGGTACCGTTAAATAAGGTAATAATAATAATACCTATACCTATACCCTGCATGTGCATTCTGTTGTGGATCGGGGTGAGCGACAATCTCAATATACATCGGGCTTTTTTTTTTTTTTTTTCGTTTGACACCCATGATGTGGCCTGTACCCTATGCAGATGTGACACAATTAAAAACTTGTTGATCAACTGAGAATAACGACATGGATAATCACAGCTGGTTTAACTGTAAAACGCGCCAAACGTGCCCCTCGGAACGATAAAAACTTGTGATTCGTAAAACCATATGTCACGTATAGGCAAATGAATCTAAAATTGATCTTCCTTCCGCCCACGTGGTGCGTCAAGTACAATGCGTACGTATATTATGTACAGTTAGTGCGTTATGCGCCGGAAACACTTTGTCGGACCATCAATTCCACTCGAGCCCCTCTGGAGCCTCTGAACATACCGATAACGTCACAAATGCGTAACGGCAACTATAGTGGATTCGCCACAGTAATAACCAACCGAGAGCGTAACAAAATATATGGAGTGTATGAAAAAAAAAGTACAACCCACCCGCACCCCCCTCCCTCCCTTTGTTATTTGCGAAAAGATGAAACTAAAGAAACTCGATTAGAGAGAAGAGAAAAAAAGAGCACAGTGGCAGCGGCCAAAAGTCAATCAAACTCGCGCGCGGGAGCGAAAAGTCAAGAATATACGCTGTTACGATGCTGTTGGCGCCGGCACAAAAGAAGCACCGCATCGCGAGCTAAACTTTTTCAACGCGACAGCCGTGGTAGTAGTGGTGGACGGTACATTGTATATGCATTGGTCGTCGTTTCAACGTTAATCCATCAGTTACGGAGTATAGCGACAAAGTGGACTATTACGTGGGTGTATCCGATAATTTTACAGGAAAAAAACACGGGCGTCCAATTAACCAAACGCCGAGAGTGGAGCCCCCTAATGACCGGGAGCTTATCAAAGTCGGCCCCTTCTGCCCCGCCCCCCCCACGTGTCCGAGAGAAAAGGGACGATCTCATCCCCGGCGCTCTTTCTTTCTCCTTTTCAAGTCTCGTGTTGCACCTCCTGCTACGGAGACATTACCCCCCCCCCCTTCCGCGAGGTATATCCTCGTTACCTCGTAATGATCAACAAAGTGTGCAATATCATTAGTTATATATATATATAGAGGGTTCCATCGAGACAACACACTTTATTACGGAAACGAGCAATCATTATTTCCGAGACTCCGTATATACACGCATCGTGCACTAGTCGCGTGTGTTTATCGCGAGATGTCAACGCCCACGCCCCACATACGCTCCGCAATCGCGGCTATTTTCTCCCACCGCCTCTGCCCGAAGGTACGCATGTGTGGCTGGTGTACACTGTTTCCCGGTCCGCATGTGCGGTATGTACATGCAGCGCTTTTGCCACCCCCCCGAAAATTTCCAGCTGTGTGCAGCACCGTTTGATATTGGCCCGGTCTAAAATGGGGGAGATGGAGCAAAAAGAAAAAGAAAAAAAAAAGTGCAAACGACGACGGAAGGATCAGTGGGGCGTGGGTGGACTTTGAAAGCTCGATGCGGTCGGGATATCGGGTGTTGGACGTGGGGGGAAAATCTGTTCGTTTGCACACACGTACATCCACATCCTCACACTTGTACGCGGATCGGGTGATAAAACATGTATAGTCCTTGCGCGTGTATAGGTAAATACACACGCTGGAAATGGAGGTATGGTAATTGGCTGGTTAATAATAATCGATGGTTATATCAAAGCCCCCAGACCCCAACCGAATCTTCACGCCCCTTCGGCTCTCCCCGCGCGGTAATTCAATCGGGGATAATTGGCCTTTAGGGGCAACGACGGCTTGATTTTTCCCCACACGCATGCTTTCGCCTCTGTCATTCTCGAGAAAATCACTTATCCGGTAGATTTCCGCTGGGGGGGGGGAGAGGGTACGGTTTTGGGGCCAAGGGGGATGATATAGTTGCGCCGCAAACATGTGACTTTGTAGAATGAGCTTTGGTGCATGGTGCTCACGATGAAATATTACGTGTACCTATTCGAGAAGGGAACACCGTGGCCGTGATGTGCCTTACACTAGTAATGCGTGTGTTATGAATTGTTATGGTTATCGATGATATTTGTTGTTTAACTGTAAAGGTTGTAGTTGTACACGTGTAAACGAATATAACATTTTTCTTTACTGATATTTAGTTACTTTTTCCTTTTTTTTTATACAAAATAATACATACAAGCGTGAAGTGAATCTCAAAGACGAGATGCAAAAAAATTGTTTTCTTTTGTTTATTTTTCTTTCTACGGGCATGTGTGATCGAGACAATGTTTAGAAACTATTTTGCAAGTCATGTTTATTTTCGCGTGGAATATAATCCTCGTGATCTAAAAGGCAAAGTATATATATTTTTTTTTTGTCTTTCTTCCCTTGACTTTTGTACCAATCTAAGTACCTACTCGTCCAAACTCAAGATCGTCACAGTTGTGCCCCATATTCTACCAAGTAATTGTAACACGTCCTTGAGTGGTTTTTAGGTATACATTTACGCACAACGCATTAAACCAGTTCGATAATCACCCGTAATTTTGCACTCGAGCGCACAAATTCGAAGCGAGAAAGTGGGCCACGCGTACACACACCCATTCGAGTGCCAAGTGCACCTATACCTACGCATACACAGAAAGTAATGTACTTACACCAATCCGTTTTCCCTCGAGATTTTTCGCTTGCATAGCTCCAAAGTATACACATAACAGTGTTTACACTGGCGATATATCAGTTCTTTATTCATTTTCCTTCGGTTGAGAAGAACCAACCATTCATTTTTGCCCATCGCTCCGGTCGAGCTGGTTATAATTTATGGATCCAACTCTCGTTACTTTTATACCGACAATGCAATATTGACCAAAAAAAAAGGAGTCGGATCGATCGCGACCGAGAGCTTTTTTTATCGGGCCGGAGCGAAGCATTGATTGATGAGCAGCTTCCTCCCCCGTCCTAAAAGCCATCTCCTTGTAGAAAATTATTCAATAAGTTTTTGTTTTTTTCAATAAACAAAAAGTGCCACGTGTGTATATAGAACCGCGTCGAAAAATACACACCCATCAGCGCCAACGCTCGATGGCCATCACCAACGAGTGTCACACCATCCTATGCGAGAGAAAAATCGGTCCATCATCCTCGTCGATTCAATTTGGCTCGGAGAGAGAGAGAGAGAGAGATCAGGTGCAGTCGTCGCGTTTGATGGAGCATAAGCGACGAGGTATCGGGGGAAAAGCGG